TGCTTCTATGAAATGTTGTCAGTACATGCTCAGGAAATCCCAGATAGAACCCCCTTCTCCCCCACCCCCACTACAGATGAAGGCAAAAGCCCCCATAGTTCATACCAATCTGATCAATCCTTCCTGACCCCTAAAATGGCGATTGATCTGACCCTGAGCAGAAAGGCAAGACCATCTAGCCAGGAACCTCCAGCTTTGGTCTCAGCAAGAGCACTGGCACACCCCAGTCAAAATCCCTAACCTTGTATGTAGCCAACCCCCAGTGTCTCTGAGGAAGGCTTAAAAACACCCTGCACGTGTAGCAGAAAGTGTGTGTGTGTGTGTGTGTGTGTGTGTGTGTGGGAGCAACCAGCAAAGCCCAGAAGTATGGGAAGTACCCATAATAGAACATAGGCATAGCTTTGTCTAGATAATCCCTGACTAGTGACTGTCCAACTTCTTGAACATCTCCAGTGTTGGAGAGTCCACAACTTCCCTAGGCAGTCTATTCCACTGCCTCACTGTTCTAACAGTAAAGAAGTTTTTCTGGATATCTAGTCTAAACTTACTTTGCTGCATCTTCAAGCCATTGCTCTGTGTCTTCCTTTCCACAGCAAGAGAGAAAAGATGCTTTCCCTTTTCTTTATGGCAGCCCTTTATGTCCCCTCTTAAGCATATTTTCTGCAAGTTGAACATGCCTAGTTCCTTCAACCTCTCCCCATATGACTTGCTTTTCAAACCTTTTATCATCTTTGTCTACCTCTGGACCCTCTAACTTCTCCAAGTCCTTTTTAATGCAGAACTGCACACAGTACTCCGGATAAGTCCTGACCAGTGCTGAGTAGAGGCGCTATTGCCTCCCGTGTCTTGAACATAATACTTCTATTGATGCATCCAAAAACTGCATTGGCCTTTTGTGCGGCTGCATCACACTGCAGACTTATACTGAGTCTGTGATCTATCAAGACTCCCAAGTCCTTTTTCTGTAGTGCTACTATGCAGTCATGTGTCACCCATTTCATATTTGTTTTTTATTATTTTTCCAGAGATGTAACACCTGGCATTTGTCCAAATTTAACTTCACCTTTTAGCTCTAGCCCAATTTTCTAATCTGTCAAAATCCTTCTGAATTGTGCTTGACTCCTCCAGTATGTTCTCAGTCCTTCCTAGTTTTGTGTCGTCCGGAAACTTGTGCAAGAAGCTTTCTTATGCCAGCATCCAAATCTCTTGTCCTGGGCCCAGTGTTGAACACCACTGGACCTAGGACAGACCCCTGTGGGTCTCCACTTGAAACCTCCTGTCATTCTGACATGGACCTATTAATAATTACCCTTTGCTTACAGCTATTGAGCCAGTTATCTTATCCACCTTGTAGAAGTTTTATCTAGCCTGCTTTTCTCCAGTTTGTTTTTAAGAGGGTTGTGTGGGACCTTGTCAGGGGTTTTCCTGAAGTCCAGATACAGTATATCCACAGCATTCCCTTCACCCACCCAAGTAGTTGCTTTGTCAAAGAAGGAGACCAAGTTTGGTTGACATGATTTGTTTTTTATAAATCCATGCTGACTGCTTGTGATAAACCTTTTAATCCTCCAGATGCTTGTAAATGGTCTTCCTTATTGTATGTTCCAGTAATGTCTCAGGTATTCAGGTGAGGCCAACTGTTCTGTGGTTCTCCTCCTTTCCTTTTTTAAAGAGGGGGAAACGCTGGCCCTTTTCTAGTTCTCTGGTACCTGGCCCACCTCCCATGACTTTATGGAGGTTCTTGCCAAGGGCTCCAAGATGTCCTTTAGTATGCTGGGATGAAGTTTGTGTTGCCCTGCTGATTTGAATGAATTTTAACCCAACAAAAGCTCTCCATCTCTTTATCTCCTCCCTCAACTTGTCCCCTTCTTTATCCAGTTACTCCTTATTAGATGTCTGACTGCAGCTTAATTTTTTGTGGAAACTGAGGCAAGGTAGCTGTTGAGTAGACCTGCCTTCTTTGAATTTTTGGTTAGGAGTTCCCCCTGGTTTGTTAACAGGGGGATCTTTGGTCTTTGTTTTCTGGCCAACATACTTATAGAACCTCTTCTTGTTGTCCTTAAGCTCCTTTGCCTGGGGCAGCTCATTCTGTATCTTTCCCTTCCTGATTTTGTCCCTGCAGGTTCTTGCTATTTCCTGGTACGTGTCCTTGGTGACCTGGCCATTCTTCCATTGCCCATATGCTTTCCTTTTGCATTTGAGATATATTAGAAGCTCCTTGTGCAGCCATGTTGGTCTCTGGCCATTCTTCTTGTGCTTCCGTTGTATCAGGACAGTTTCTTTTCGGGTCTCCAATATTGTGCCCGCTCGGAGCTCCCAGCTCTCCTAGGTACCTTTTTACCCTTTGGTCCATCTTCCCATGGCACCATACTCATTAACTCCTTGAGTCAGATGAAATCTGCCTCTTGAAATATAGCATCCTAATTTTGCTGACCTCATGCTTTCCCTGTCTCAGGATCTGGAATTCTATCATATTATGATCACTTTCTCCCAAGTTATTCATCACCTTCACATCCTCTACCAGTTCTTTCCTGTTGGTCAAGGACAAGATCCAAAATAGATGATTCCCTACTTATATCTTCCACACACGTTAGGAACTAGCTTGACACTGTTTGGCTGCATTTTTCTTCCAGCAGATCTCTGAAAAACTGAAGTCTCCCCCACACCCATCAATACTATCCCATAGCTTTTGGATAGATTTGTCACCTGCTTGAAGAGTGCCTCATCCACCTCCTCATCCTAATTTGGTGGCCTATAATAAATCTGCATCATTATAACAGTGCTGCATCACTTTTCATCCTCACCCAGATGCATTCTGCTTGACTATCATCTTCCTCCTGAACCAGGGAACAAGTGTGTGCGTTTGACATACAAGGCAACAACACCATTGCCTTTTGTCCCAACCCTGTCCTTCCCAATCAGTGTAACCCTCTATGTTGACATTTCAGTCCTAATAAGAGCTTTCCCACCAGGTCATTGTGATATCAGTCAGATCATCATTCTTTTCACAGGCTGCAGCTTCCAGCTCATCTTGTTTATTCCCCATACTTCTCATCAGACATATTTTGCATTTTGACCTACTCGCTTCCCTTTTGCGCTACTTGTTCCACTCCTGTAGCTCACTGGCTCTTTCCCAGAGTTAAGTTGCTTCTTTGAATCCTTTCCCCTCTAGACTGGGTGCTTGGTTGCTGGAGGGTTTTGATCACCATCCCCTGTGGAACCTAGTTAAATGCATGTGTCCCAACTGGCAAGGTCTTTTTTTTTTGTTTTTTTTGAGGGAGTTTTGTGGGGGGTGAGGGGGTGGGAGGCAAGTTTTGTGTTTGGGAGGGAAGATAAAGTATTCCAGTGACTGTAGGGATAGCTGTAGCAGCAGCAAAAGCTTTAAGTGGCTTTCCCTAGGACTTGTGAAGTAGCTACAAAAGATCCTCCCCTTCACTGAAATACTATTTCAATACAGCCTCAAAGGTGCAGGCACATGGGTAGCAAAGCTTGCACTAAGTATTAAAGGTGTTTGTCAGAAAACACCAATTCATTGGAAGGATCAGTTCTGACAAAGCTGTTTTTGAAAAATACTGGTGGGGGGAAGCTTTATTACCTAAAATTCTAGTTAATTGATACTAAAAAGTTGTAATCAAAACACAACATGATGAAAAGAAGTTTTTTAACTGACCTCATCTGCACATTTTTGGGTTATCAGTTACTTTGTCCAAATTCAGGGCAGAAGTTGTGGGGGGGGTTGGCTTTTTAAAAAATCTTTAAA